TTTTCCTTTGGGGGACAAGAACTTCTTTTCCAGATTTCCCAAATCTGTCAAATAAGTTACTCAAATCACCAAGTGAATTCGTGAGATCCGAACTCAGGAATCAACCCCTAAAGTTTGGTACATAACAGTGACACTGTATTAATTCTCACAGCAGATTACAAAAAAATGTAATGTCTTAACACATTTAAAACTAATCTTCAGACATTGTCATGTATTGTGGTGAATCTCTATTTTTCATGTAAGAATTACACCAACGGCTTCCTGCATTTGTATATTCAGGTACAGGCCCCAGGCCTTGAATAGCCTCTTAAAATGTAACCTGCCCTTACGAACATTTTGCACGTATTTTCAACCTATGTTGACATATTTTTGCATTGCATTGCATTGAGATGAGCAGTCAGTTCCCACACTGTTAAATCTTTCAGTCACACCCAAAGTAATCCAGCACACTCTATTTTTCAGGCGGCCCAAAGCAAAGAAGATATAGTTCCCTGTTGACATACAAGCCCTCCAGCCCTCCAGGCAGTCCTGATAAATATTCTTAGCTTGGCTCCCCAGCCCAGACTAAATAGCAATTTGCTGATAGATGTAGAGTTCCTCTTATGTTAAATACTGCTATGATCAGCGTCACAAATAACTATGCAGTAGATTTTTATTTTTACACTGGGCAACATCAACCACTTGATTGGGATATTTGGCACATAAGCGTCTAGAAGGATAAAAGAAATAGAAAGTTGGTATGTACGTTATGTTGTCTACCGGTAACAAATTCCTTCACTGCGTATGGGAAAATATACATATGAGAGAATGCACCAGTATTTGCTTGAGTATCAATATACTTACTTGGTGCTTTGGATTGGAAAAAGTAAAAAAAAACCATCTTGAAAGTACAGTCTCTTTGATGGATTTAATGCTGCTGAATTTCCTTTAAAAAGGGAATCTCTATAATGATCAAGAGACAGCTTAAATTATTTTGAATACTATTTTGTTGTTTTTTTTTATTTTCTTGTCATAATATAAAAATGTGTGTGTGTGTGTGAGAGAGAGAGAGAGAGAGAGAGGGAGGGAGGGAGGAAGGGAGGAAGGGAGGGGGGAGGCGGGGAGAGAAAGGGGTATCTTGGAAGCCATGTCAATTTGGAAAAAAAATAATGTAGCGAACCATCAGAATCCGAAAGAAAAAGGCATCATTATTGATTGGTAGCAATGCATATTTTAAAACCCAGACATAGAAGGTAAAGCTATACAACTCAACTATAGCTATTCTGAAAACCCACTTGATCACTGTTCATCCATCTGTTATCTATATTCTCTGATCAAAGACCAGTTTCAGCCATTGTCATGCCTAATATCACATTTCATTTCACTTCGTTTCCTCCCACCAGACGTTCTAGCCAAACTTCATAAAGAACTGGAATAAAACGCCCTAAGCCAAACTTACACGGTCAAGAAACAAAGATAGAATTTAATATAAGTAACTTAAAAGTTCATGTTACTCCATATTACTACTACTTTGTATGTATCCCACTGCTGGCACACATGAAATTAAAATCCGGCATCAACTTTAGCAGGGCTCCATGAGCTACTCCTGAAACTTGTGGGGAGAAATTTCTGTGTATCCACAATGTAGAAAAGTGGAGTGGTACCTTAGTGGTAAGACTCTCACCTCCCACCCAGAAGGTTGAGAGTTCAATCTTAGGTAGTGGCAGATGTTTCTCTCCTAGGGTGGAAAAAATATCTGTTGCAAACTCCACATAGGCGTCAGGGAGGGCATCCAGCCAGTAAACGCTCAGGTCCCTCCAGTCGCCCTGACTCCGTCCCAAATTAAGGGACAACAGGGTCATAAAAAGGGAGTTTTATCCCTAGTGTAGAATAATCGAGAAAATACAGCATATGCAGCAGGGACTCTACTTCTTTTAGCACGATGTTTCTTTCAGGCTTTCAGCATGTTCCGCATTAAATGATTGCCCTCTTCTAGATCTACATCAGGTATGTCAAACTCGCGACGTCACGTGACGTTGCGCAACATATCGGAGCTTTTTCTCCATTGCCGGCAATGGGGTGGGCGCGGTTTTGGGATGATGCGTCCGGCCCACGGGCCGGCAGTTTGACACCCCTGATCTACATTATGCCACTGTCCTGGTTCGTAGAGTCCTCGCCCTCGAGACTGCTTTTTCTAATTGCATGGCACAGAATGCTGTCAACGCTCAATACTGTTCGAAGTGGGACAAGGAAATATTGTCTTGAATTATGTTAGGCAAACAAAAATGTCACACCACAAACACAAATAATTGCAGAATAATATTATTTTGCTGCATGCTGTGCTAAAAAAGCCAGCTTCTCACAGACATCCCGGCACGGTGTCCCTGGTGCTAACCACTGAATTGTAGACACTTGGAGTAGGCAGCCCAGCAGCCATCTCCATAAGTGGAAGATTAAGACAAAGGCGGAGCAAATCCAGCACCAGTGTGACTTCTTTTATAAATACATTTGAAAACCACTGTCGGTCCCATGGAAAAACAGTAACAGATGTTAAAGGCTAGGAAGAAGTGTTCTTACCCCCAAAATAAAAAGACACAGATGTACGAACAGCTCTATTCACTGCCAAATCCGCCAAAACCAGCGACAGGCCACACACATTGCTCCAGACAGAAACTTCCCAGCTAAGCTGCCTCTTGCAGATGAGAGCATCTCTACTCAAGAGCCTCAAGAAAAGTGTCATTTAACGCTGACAGTTATTCACCTCCCAGGATACCTGGGCTATTTCCAAGGCCTGAAATTTAAGCACCAAGGAGGCATGACTAAGGATAAAACTAGTGCCGGGGGCATATTACGAGAGTCATTAACAGTGATGCTAAAGCCAAGTAAAAAAAACAATTTAACAATGGCATTGTGTATTGACATTTGGATTTGCGCTCATGAGAACTAGAATAATTGAGTTTCTCAGACTTCAGTTACATTGCTCTCTCTCACACATATACAGATGCCCTCATGCAACTATCCACAATCTGAGGCCCTCTGGATGTGTCGGCCTACAACTTCACGTATTACAACCAATGGTCATAGTGTCAGGATGGGAGCTGTTCTAATGTAAGTCCTTACGAGCACCTACAAGTGATCACACTCTGCAAAGCAGCAAACTCTACTGTCCTAAACACTAGACCAGTGCTTTTCAAATTTGGAAACTTTTAAGATGAATGGACTTCAACTCCACTCGTGAAAAACACTACAGACACGTACCACTGCTTTGTGAGAAACTAACATTGAGACAATAGCAGCAAAAGAAAATCTAATTATATTACAATGCAGATTTGCTAATGGCCACAACTACTTTTAATAAACAGCTGCCTTGATCACTTCCAGTAATGCTTATTATACAATTTCTACTATTGGGAAAGCTCTTCAAATACCAACTAACCATAATCAGGGAACTGTCTCCATTTATTCTGAAACATCTTCTCTTAGCTCAGTTCTGGGTATTGGAGAATCCTTATACCAAAGTTTAGCCTAAGTCTTTGAGCTGCTCATATATTGCTCAAGAATAAAAATACTGTAGGATGTGGTTGGGTAACAATAATATGGGAGTAATTTCAGTAACTGGTTATTTGTGCCTATAGCCACTAAGATAGAGAATATGAAGAAATGCTGGCTGTCTTTACGTTAACAACTCAATGGAAGGCATTTGTCTTAACAGGGGTGTCATCTAGCTGCCCTTTTAAAATGTAACCTTGAAAATCAACACGTTACATACCCACAGTCACAGATCTCACAGATACATTTGCCAGAGAATTGAGTTTGTTGCGGAGTCATTTTGGAAAGATGGGATGGTTGCAGTCCTGGTGAAAATCGGTTAGCTAGCTCTTGCTGATTCCACTGCTGCAAGGAACGGTAGAAGACTGTTGTGAGCACATCCCAGCTAATCGAGCGGCACAAATTCTCTTCTACCTTAAAACTAGCTCCTGCTGAAAACTAATGGAGTCCTCACCTTGACTGTAAAGGTGCAGGGGACACATAACAAGCTGTTTAGTAGTCACCTGGAGATCCTTTGTGAAGTCACCAGGTAGATTTGGCTTTGCAGGCAGTAATATTGCCAAAACAGAGTATCTGCTCCCAGAATTGAAGAGTAATTTACATCCAAATATAAAGATACTCTATTTAGGTTTGGGAAACGATACGTTTATCCCAACTGTGGGCATTTAATTAAAAGTGGAAGGGGCCGCATTAGAGAGACTACTGAAAGACTAGAGCATGCAAATTTATAAAATTATATATAGCAAATTCGGCCTCAGAGGTCAATAGCACAGCAACCATACGAACACAATATACATTTTTGTCAATTGATTTCTGTTTCTCATTTCAAGTATCTATGATGGCTAAAAAGATGTAACTTCAGGAATCCAAAATGTCCAAAGATAATATATAGCGTATTAGGACTGCATTTTTCTTGGTTACTAGTCAAAATAAATCTATACTTGGGCTTATGCTAGAAAATTTGCTGAAACCAGAACAATATTTCTGGGACATGTTAGAAAACCTTTGTTATAGTTCTTCCCCTGTATATTTATTAGCCTGTTTTTATTTTCAGTCAAACTCAAGGGAATGTACATACTTAACGTTCCTGCCTATTTTTCCCACAGCAATCCTCTTAAGTATTGCCACATTCCAGAAAATTGGTTGTGTTACCAAAATGAATGAAGAGCTAAACGTATTTTATAAGGAAATTTTGTCTTTTTAAATCTTTCTTGGCGAAAAGCTTTTGTCAGGGTCACTAACCCCGGTAAACCCAAGACATATTTACTGCTTTCTGGACAGAGTTCCCACATTTTCCTCCAAAATTATGATTTAGGGGAGTTGCAAATATTTATATTTGCATGTCACAAAATGAGTGTTTTTAAATATATTAGCCACATCTCAGATTTATTTTTCTCTGAATTCACATCAACAAGGCTCATTGTGATTAGAACCAAAGTGCTTGATGTAATAAAGCCCTTAGGCCCTGATTTTCAATAGGAAGTCTGCAAGAGATCCTCCATGTAGACTATCAAGTCCAAAATTTCTTGTACTGCACAAGTGAACAGACTAAACAGAATCGTATAACAAGCAGACTGACCGGAATTCCTAACAATCCATAGTTTCCTGATAATAGAAAATTGATGCTGGCTCACTCGGTATCACATAAACACAATTTCTCATAAGGAATGAAATAAGCTAACGGGCATAAGAAGTCAGGTCTCTTCTATATATTTGGGTTCAGAAAAGAATTGAAATGGGGAAAATAAACGTACAACCAGAAGATTTTACTGAAGAAAGTTTATTATGGTATTATTTTAAAAATACATATTTTAAATAAATACTTAAGACCAACATTAGTTTGTAAGACTATCAGAAGTTATGTTCAGATGCTTGAATACCAACGTTTTCCCCTTCTCATTCCTAACCTTAATCTTTAAAAATCCAGTTATTCTACTTTTTTTACTTTTGTTATCCATCAACTAATATCTAATGCATGGGATGAAAGTGAAAAACTAAATCCCAGCGTCTTCCTATGTAACTTTTCCCTGTGTTACTGGATTATAGAGATGAGACATATTAACATAGGTGACTGGTAAGTAATGTTACATCTTCATTTTCTATGACTATTTTAGAACATCTTGCAAGATTTATCAGGGTCAGTACTGAGAGTTAACATGCAAGGCATCAGCAGTTTTCTATTAGACCATTTCTCTCCCATGCTTCTCTTTCTCCTTCCATGTGCATCCAGCTGTGTTCTATAGCAATGTTTCTCAACCTTGGCAACTTTGAGATGGGTGGACTTCAACTCCCAGAATTCCCAGAGTTGAAGTCCACCCATCTTAAAGTTGCTAAGGTTGAGAAACCCTGTTCTACAGGATTCCCAAATCTCTAGAACAGATGTGGGGTTTATACAGGGAATGATTCTTTAGTTTCACTAGTCTACTCTCTCTCTACTCCATTGCAAAACGGACACTGTTGGATACAATTTACAAAGGAGCTGATCTGCACCACTCATTCAATTGAGTCTTAAAATGCTTCTTATTTCCCAGATGTGGGGAAAAGATGAAATATGAAAAGACATTTGATTTACTCAATTGCTTACCAAAGGCCCATCATCTGTAGGTTTCCTGAGGAGTCAAACGAGGTTTATCTTCCAAAATCTGAACTAAATATGGTAGCCTGTACTTAGATAAGACATTTTATTGCTATTTCTTTAACACATAAGGGTCTCCTTGTGGCTATTCTTAAAAGATCTCAATTCATCTGTATTGTTTTCATCACTGATAATACAAAATTATCTAAGTTTATAAAACTGTGCAAGAAGCCTATAGTCAGGATTAGTTAACATTAACATTAAAAGTTGAGGTTTGCAAAAACACTTTTATCTCATGAAGTATTTCATTCAAGTCAGTGCATCATGATTATAAAACCGTGGAATGACTTCATCTTCGCAGTTGAGGGTTCTTTTGTATCCATCTTCAAATTATTTTTCTGAAAGAGAAACGTATCCTTTTTAAAACCTATTTTAAAATAGTGTTGTTTTTTTTAGGTATGTACATGGATTGTGCACCGGGTAAAAATTTATTTTAAAGAATCCCCCATGGAAATCTCCAACCATCAAGTGCAGAGGGATTATTTTCACAGACACTGTAGTTTTAATTCTATGAAGGGCAATATAGCCATTATCTAAAAATGTATTTTAAATTCAGGGATAGACTGAATTTTCCTTAAGAAGCATCTCATGCCAAAGTCCTAATTAATTATGATTAAATTCACTAGTTAATTAATTAGTTAATTAAATACGATAAAAAGTCACTAGTCTGGTGAAAAGAAGGACGAGGGGGGACATGATAGCAGTGTTCCAATATCTCAGGGGCTGCCACAAAGAAGAAGAGAGGGTCAAGCTATTCTCCAAAGCACCTGAAGGCAGGACAAGAAGCAACGGATGGAAACTAATCAAGGAGAGAACCAACCTAGAACTAAGGAGAAATTTCCTGTAAGTGACAACAATCAGTTGAATGACTTGCCTCCACAAATTGGTGGTCCAACACTGCAGGGTTTTAAGTAGAGATTGGGCAGCCATTTGTCCGGAATGGTATAGGGTCTCCTGCTTGAGAAGGAGGTTGGAGTAGATAGAAGACCTCCAAGGTCCCTTCCAATTCTGTTATTCTGTTAAAAACTTTATCCCAAGAATAAACTTTAAAAGCCAATCTTTTTTAAAACTTGGCAACCTCTTTACTATAACTAGTTAGCATGAAACAATAACCTATTCTTAATTTAAACACTGTGATATAATATACAGGGATTTGGGCAGTAGTATAAACCAGAAGCTACTTGGACAGGATCAGTTAGATGTGCAGTTCCTCAACTCCTCTTTGAACACAGGCCATTTTGCACAGCTTATTAGCTGATTTATGCATTGAATGCTGCGACGTCACTTGCATCCTGCACTAGCAGATCACCAGCAGTGCACAGCATCTATTTCCACTTAAGAGGGCGCTCCAAGCTTCACATTAAAAAGTGCGGCTATTTCCCCAACAGTCAGAATTTGGCTGCATTTCCACCTACAGTTTGAAGGATGCACTAACCTTTCCGTTTATTAAATACGTCTCCTCGATCCTGCATGTCCCTCCTCTCTCTCCGCTGCAGCGGAGATAACGCAAATAAAGGGGAGAAGCTATTCTTTCTTTCAAGATGACTCGGGCGTGAGGATTTCTTGACAAGTTCTGCATCAGACGCGTAAGGTTTTCCCAAAGGGCTAAGCACATCCTTCATTTCCAGGCTTGCTGGTCTGAGGTTAAACTCTGATCTGCACCTTGGCATTTGCTTTCCAGGAACCGGTGGGTGATCATGTAGAGTCTTTTTCAGCGCCTCGTACCGATTTAGAATAGACTGGAAATCTAGCGTGCACTCGTTTCCTGGCAGACAATCTGTCACATGTTTGCTGTCTCTGGAGTTTTCTTCTCCTGAGTCATCCAAATCATGGACGCTATTAAGACTGATGGAGCCTCCTTCTTCTGGGAGAGTTTCTTGAAGTATGCCTAGCTGGATAACGTCATGGCTTTCGGAACCAGTACTGCCCATTGCTTGAGAAGCATCCCTCAACAAAGTTGCATACATGGTAGAATTCTGACCCGCACCGTGTGACGAAGCCTCTGATCCAGTATGGTTGCCAGAGCCACACCTTACCTCATGCGCACTTTGATTTAGAGTCTTGAAGACTGGTTCCGGGTTTTCCACTTGACCTGGAGCAGCAAGGGGCAATTCTTTCTTGCAAATCATTTCATCCCGTGGCCTAAGAGCCTCTTGGTGGCTCAGCGATTCATCGGTATCGCCTTGCGGCAAACTACCCGGAGGCTCCGCATTTAAAAAGGGAAATTCTGCGGCATCAGACATACAAGGCGACAAAAGCCACGTCAGACTTGAATCTACACGGTGTCTGAAGGCAGGAGCTGTATTCTGCGAGAACTTTTCCGTTGCTTCAGAATGAGGCAAAGCTTCACTTGAAGGTGGTTCGGTCTGAATAGCCTTTTTCCACGAGCTTCTAATTTCTGTAACTGAAAATGAGTGATAAAAAGATTAAGTACAGTACTGTAATTTTCTTTCTAAAAAATATACTTCTTGCTTCTACACACCACCTTTGAAATGATACTAAAAGAAAACATTCCCTTAGGACAGGGGTAGGCAACCTTGGCTCTTTTATGACTCCTGGACTTCAACTCCCAGAATTCCTAAGTCAGTCATAGCCAACTACATACTGTATCATCCTGAGTTACAGGATCGTCCTCTACTCTACCTGAGACCGGAAGGGCCTATATTTCCCCACAACAACTCTGTGAGGTTGGTTGGGCTGAAAGAGAGTGACTGGACCAAGGCCACCCAGCTGGTTTTTCACGCCTAATGCGAGATGAGAACTCACAGTCTCCTGGTTTCTAGTCTGATGCCTCAACCACTAGACCAGGGGTAGGCAACCTTGGCTCTTTTATGACTCCTGGACTTCAACTCCCAGAATTCCTGAGCCAGCATGGCTCAGCTTGGAAACCTCTCTCTTTCCCCTCAGCATGGCTGGCTCAGGAATTCTGGGAGTTGAAGTCCACGAGTCATAAAAGAGCCAAGGTTGCCTAGCCCTGGCTTAGGACATAGATTTTTTAGAGCACTGTAACTTGGATAAAATATAAAATCTTTTGTCCACATTTTGGGTAGAGAAGACCCTTGGTTTGAAACAGGGGTAAAGGAATAGTCTGTGTATGTTAGAATTGAACAGCCCTCCCTCAACAGGAGAGGAATAAGACACCACAACGCAGCCCTTTCAGCAGCTCCAGGAAGACTCCACAACCAATTGCACTCTGATTCAGGTGACCCTGAGGGCACAGATAAACCCCCAAGTGGCCGCAATGGCTCTCAGAGAGAGTGCTAATTGACCAGATTACTACAAAAACAAACACCCCACAATTCTTCCATCCTCCCTATCATCCAATCACAACTGGATGAGAAGCAAAAATATTTTCTTTTTCTTCTTCTTCCCCAAGGAAAGAAAAGTCCAGCTGCCTTTTGAAAAAAAAAAGCACCTCTGAGACAACTATGTCTTGGATGATTAAGAATCTCCGTAGACATTTTGAGAAAAAAGGTTTCTTTGTAAATGCCCATCTCTGAATTTAAAGATATTATACTTGTATTGCTCTGTTTGTCACATACAACAGCATTGAAGCTCTCAGCTATGACTACTGGAAAATCCCCGTCTGTCTCCTACCTCCAACCCCACCCCAATTTAAACCCTACATCCCCCTAGCCATTCCACGCATCTGATGAAATAAACTGCATTTCATTAAAGCTTTTAAAATCTGTTAGTCATAAAATGTGCTACCAAGCTCTGATTGTCACTTGTTACCTACAATATTGAAAGACCCGTTTCGCAAACACTTATTTGATCTCTCTGCCGATTTGAAGAAATAACTTTACAAACAAAGAGCAGAGGAAGATCCGAGGATACACATTTGACTTTTATTATATATTAATGGTAACTCTAGAAACTGCCAAGTAGAAGGCCCTTTTTGCCTGCAGATAGTCCTCGGGTTACGACAGTCATTGGGACCAGAGTTTCCATTGCTAAGTGATATTGCTCATGAAGTGCAATATCCTGTTACTGCATCGCTTAGTGACAGCAATACTAGTAGTCTCTACTATATCACTAGAGAGCAATAGGGAAGCAATATACAGTACGTAAAGCTCTTTTTTGTACCTTATGAGAAGAGGCTTATGTTAACAAGTTTTCTGCACATCAGAGACACACAGAAGATAGGCTGCCACACGTCCTTCTGATGGGGGATTATAAACAGTCTTGACTTCCTTAATGGGAGCCTAGATGGTCTGGCCAAGGTGGGGGAAAATAGGGTAAGAGATCTGAATATAATTCTTATTTACTCTCTTTGAGAGGATCATACTAACGGGAAGAATCTAATGCTTTCTACTATTTGAGAACTGTTAGGATCTTGTCTTCTAGTAGGTCTTTCCCTCTGACAATCCAATGGGGTAATATATACAGGTAATCCCTGAGTTATGAGCGAAGTGAATTGTGAGTAAGCTTCAATGCGCTGTTCAATAAATGCTCGTTCAGGGTTTTAGTACTTGTGACGGCGAGACGTACCGGTTACACGAGAATCTTTGTCTCGTCTTCCGAGGTAAAGGGTTCACGGGGTAAGGGCCGTATGCCTCGGACGTCAGAGACAGTCCAGAGGAGCGCGCTATAATGTCTGTGGGTTCTCTTTCCATCGACGGATCTTTTCAAGATAAGTGATTCTGGCGCAGCAGGAAGGGAGAGGGAAGCATGAGGTATCTTAATGAGTTGGGGAGGTCTTCGGGGTCTGTTCCATCACTAGGCCCCTCCATGGCCTTCCCCACCCTGATACCTCATGTGCACTTCACAAGCCGCGCACATGTTAACAAGCAGGAAGTGATCTTGTTCGAGGTACGAGATTCAGTCCCACGAATTCTCGAGTTACAAATGGAATGGGCAGGCTCCACTACATTCGTAACTCGAGGGTTACCTGTAACAAATATCTGAAGAAAGGGCTTTTGGGGCAGGAAAGAAGGGAAGGAGAGTAAGGCACTGCAGCTCCCATGTTCCAATCCACTAGAAGGAAGTTGCTTAGCCCACAGTTCTATATTTTAGAGCAGGAGTGTCAAACTCAATTTCATTGAGGGCCGCATCAGCATTGCAGTTGCCCTCAGGGGGCCGGGTGGGTGTGGCCAGGGTGGGTGCAGCCTACTGGGTGGGCGTGGATGGAGTGGGTGTGGCCAGCTCTACATCGTTTGCATCAAGGGTGCCTGTGGGGGCCTGGGCAGGAGTGGGACAGATCTGAGGGTCTCTGGCAGAAGGGGGTGGGACCAGGGCAAGTGCCAAGGCATGGTCCACTGGAAGAGCCTCATTGTTCCTCTCAGACTATGTGGGGGGGGGGCTTATGGAGCTAAGACTGAATGCGTTTCAACATAGATGGCCACCACAAAATTGTACATTGGCTCCCGGCCGGCCTGGGTCAGGGCCAAGGCAGCGAGGGCCGTTTCTTCACTGTTTCCAGGATGGCTTCACGGGCCACATGAAACCACTTCGCAGGCCACATCTGGCCCCCGGGCCTTGTGTTTGACATGTCTGTTTTAGAGAATCCACTTATACTAGCAATATACCAATAGCTTATATATAGGGGATCCATAAGAAACTTATCATACAAATAGATGTATTGCTGGCACTAGTTGGTCTTTTTTTATTCCTGACAGCGATAATCAATGGAAGAGAAGACAGAGAAAAATAGACAGAGTAGTTCACAAAAATAACAGTAAAAATAAATAAACAAAATGTGAAATAAACAAAATGTGAAAAGGGGCATAATGCGAAGTTTCAAAAATACTCCACTGGAACCTTCATTTTGAGGGGTGCTTTACTGTGCCGTATTGTTTGACTATATATGATAACCATAAACAAAATCATATCCTCAGAAACTGTAAACCCAAATCAATTTCAGGAAGACCGAATGTACTGCAATGTAATGTTATGAATACTCACTCAGATTTTCTGGAGTCCGTGGAATCTGTTTCCTTGTTAAGAAAGGATTTGAGATTAAGGTACTGATCAGATCCCCTATATCCTTCCCAGTGTTCTGGGCTGAATCAGATATTACTACATCTGCCACCTGCAAGAAAATATACATGCTTAAAAGGGACAAGCCACAACTACACTGCTGAAATATGCTAGCTGTAGATGACCAGGCTAAGCCTGAGGGAGGGGTCAAAGGTGTCATAAGTCACAAGTCCCTTCAGGCCTACACAGGGTGGATTTGATTTAAATCACGATTTAAATCACTGGTAAAAAGGCTTGATCTAAATCAACTCGATTTAAATCAGAATTTTTAAAGAGCAACTGTCATCTCTATCCCGCAGCGGCTCCTCCTCTGAACTGCTGTTGACTCACCGACAGTCCCATTCACTTTAATGGGATGGCTGGTGATGTGGCAGTGACACAACAAGGTGAGGGACGTGGCGGGCAGCAGGTGAGCGGATGCCCGCTAACAGGCGCTGTCATGATGGATCTGAAATGACAGGTGCTCTTTAAATGTAAGGACTCATTCTTGCTGGCAGTTAGAATCTTTATTATTACTATTTGCAAACAAAATGAAGGTTTCCTATTTAGAATAATAAGCTGTCAGGTTAGTAAAACAGCGATACCAGAACCGATTTTAGGTTAACAGGTTAACCATACATCATTGGAGAACTCATTTTTTTTTTATTTAATTAAAACGCTTAGAGCCTGGTACAGATGCATTTCTCTTCAAACGATCGTACAGCTTGTAGTGTACATAGATTTGCAAAACAATGGGATAAAAAAATATTCCTGAACTTTGTTTTATGATTTATCTCACGGTTACTGTGAAATTGTGTGAATGCATCGATGCAGTGCACGTTATCTCAGCTTGCAGAGCTTGGATTCATTAAATGAGTTTACCAAAAATGTAAATATTGCAGAATATACAGCCTCATGCTGCATAACTAAGCTCCATTTCATGCTGAATAAACTACATTACTAATGTATCTTAAATAGAAAACTATCTTCAGATAGATTTTTTACTCCAAAAGTATTTTATTAAAATAAATTTGATAAAAATAAAAAAATCCGATTTAAATTTTAAAAAATCTGATTTTTTAAATATATTTTTAAAAAAATCATTATTATCCACCCCGTGCCCACAAGAGATCTAAGTACAGCCCACCCTGAATGCCTCTCTTATCTCCCGCTCATTTCCCTTAACAGTCAGTTGGTCAGATTCTTGTAGAGAGCTTAAGTTTGCAATAAATCTTTATATTCATTTTGAACTGCCTGAATCTCCAGATTTCCCCAGTGCTTGACACTATCCTTGGGAATTAACCTGCCTCTTGCCCCCTTCCTTGGCATCTACTACTCTGCCTATCCTGAGTTTCCCTTAATTTTAGAATCTGTTTTATTATTTAAAGAGTGATTCGATATTGCATAATAAAAAAAATGAAATGAATACACAGGGAAAGGCAAACATTATAGTTAATGCAAATTAAACCAAGCATAACCTAAGAAACTACAGACAATAAGCATTATGATACTGTCAGATTCTTCATGAACAGGATTTTCACTTGAATCCTCAAATATGCTCTGGGCTATTTTCAACCCTCTGAAAGAGGATGGGAAATGCCGGGAAAAGTATGTTTCTCCAGCAGATTGTTCTGCAAGTAGGCAACCAGCACCGAGTACCACATAATATTCTACATTTTTAATAACATAAAGATATTATCCTTATTGCACTGACTTGCCTGATAAAAATATTGGATTTTTAATTTTTACTTATGGCCAGTCAAGCTATCTTTGCTTTTTATGTAAATGAGCATCCTCAAAAAACTTCAGATTATGTAATTACTAATGTTTATCTGTTTAACATACTCTTTACCTGTTCAGCCAGCTGTTCTTGGGCCTTCTTTAAAGGATCTTCGTTTTTAGCCAATGAATGTGTTCTAACTGGATCAGCTTGTCTTTTATTCCCACTTTCTCTTCGTCTAGAATGTCTTCCTTTATACTCTAAGATTTGAAACCGTGAATTATCAGTCCTCTTGGGAGTTTCGACATTTGATGTCTGTGGGAGAGGGGGAAAAAAATGACAATTGAGCTTGCAAGTGTAGACCAATATTTTATATTTGCAACAACTGCATTTTAATTTTCATCGCATATCTAGTATTCATGAGTCTCAAGAAAAGATGGGCCAACCGTTAATATAAGATTCCATTAGGACCAATGAAAATGTACCTAATGGAAAAGCCTTACACCCCGTTCAAAGTTCCAGGATTTTTATATTCTTTCGGAATAATAATTTACATGTGACAATTTTTAGTACATGAACATGTCGGCGATTTTGGACATACGGGGCATAGACAGGCAATGTTAAAGAGAGTTAAGTAGGGCCAGTAGTTTTCCGTTGTAACAATATCCCTCTCGAACACTGTATTAGAGCAAAGCTTTTCTCTACTTGGGTATCAGCCTCCCATGCATGCAAGTTATGTGCATATAATCAGGAATATAAGCAAACACACACAAAAATGTTAGCAATGATTCCTGCATACAATATATCAAAACCATGTTGCAATTTTAAGATAACTTATCAGAGTTAACTAGAAAGAAAGATTTACATCTCCTGGACCCAAGAGAAAAGATGAAGAAAAAAAATATAAAATCAATATCTAGTTTTAACACTTTGCAATATATGTTCTGAGGTACAATTTGAATTCTGTTTTTATCTTCTGCTACAGATGCACCTAGCTATGCTTCCATTTAGAGAATCACCTATAATCTAAATCTACATTCTAATTCTTTCTAAGGCGTGGTCCCATGCTATTTATACAATGTTAATATATGCTACTATTCTATACAAGGACATACTAAAATCATACCTTTCTGTGACTGTCTTTGTTGAATAATCTTCATTTCCCAGTGTCTTCCCAACTGTTGCAAATTCATTTGCCTGAACATTCTTTTTGGTCGAATCTAAATACATTTTTCAAAAGTGAATCAAGAATTGTGTTTACTTAATAATATAAATATTTACCATATCACTAGTTCTAAGGAAATATTGTTGTATTTAAAGGTAGTCCTATCAGACCCAAGCCCAGAGATGAGATAGTGAAATCCAATCGAGTCCAATCCTTTATTTGCCTACACCAGGGGTAGGCAACCTTGGCTCTTTTATGACTCGTGGACTTCAACTCCCAGAATTCCTGAGGGGAAAGGGAGAGATTTCCAAGCTGAGCCATGCTGGCTCAGGAATTCTGGGAGTTGAAGTCCACGAGTCATAAAAGAGCCAAGGTTGCCTATCCCTGGCCTACACCTAATAGTCACAATCTTGCCAAATTAAACCTATAACTTTCTAAGCTACTAGATATATTCAGAGATTCTAGGTTGTCCTTACCCTGCACCTCTTCCTCCCTCCAGCTCTAGACTGCGCACTATCTTGATCTGGGTCTCTTCCTGGGAACCCTCTCAGTTGGCAAAATCCTCCCCCTCTGCTACTGCAGGTACATATTCCTATTATAAATCCTCAACTTACAACCATAATTGAGCCCAGAATTATGGTCATAATTCGTTAACTGAGACACCCATGTGACCAGAACTAATCTCCTGATCTTTTTTGGGGTGGTCATTAAGCAAGTGCCGCAGTTGTTAAGCAAACATATTCATTTGACAGATTAATTTTACACTGTGTGAAGCAGTACTACCTTATGTCTGTTTTAAATCACCTTCCAATTAGCTTCATTGGATAACTATCAATCCTAGTGTTTTAAGAAAGGAAAGTTATCTTTATGTTTACCATATGTTATTTTATACCGTGCAATCATATACCCTAGTCAGTTATCTTTTTTTTCTAACTTAAGAGTCCCCCAAATTCTAGCCTTTTGTCCTAATTAATTTGGCAATCCCTTTTCCAAATCTATATTTTTTTCCAGAAATGTACTTACCATCCCTTTGTTTAATAATCCCCAGCATCACAATCACTTTTCTCACAGCTGCCACACTTTAATATATTTATTGAGCGATCGGTGTGACCAAGTAATTTATTATAGACAGCTCAATCCTATCATCTATATGTGAAGTTAAGAGGAGGTGCTCCAATGTAAATCATTTCACACTTATTTAAATTGAAGTATATTTGCTACTTAACTGTTTTTCCTTGTTTAAAGAAATCATTCTGGAGTTTTGTATGGCCCCGAGTGGTTTGGCTTAATACAAAACCTCAGCAAATTTATTGCTTTGTCTCTAAGCAAGATCACCGACAAACGACGTAAAAAGAAATAGTCCCAACCCCACATCTTTAAGGGGTTTCCATTTCTTTGTCCTTGTATATCTGTTTTGTGGTTTTGCTTTTATATTGTTACTAAGTCATAAAATGGCAGGTGCTTTTAACCCACGACTGCTAAATTTGATGGGAACCTTTGTCAAAAGTCGTTTGAAATTCCAAATGTGGAATGTCAACAGGAACATCTCTATGTCTTTATTTATACTCTTTTTAAAAAAATTCTAGGAAGTGGGTGAAGCAGGATTGCAAAGGGTGATCACATGATCGCAGGACAACTGGTCATAAACGTAAACATAAATGTGTCTGAAATGTAATCGTGTGACTAAAGGAAGAATGGTGTGACATTTCATGATGTCCAGAAGTTCTTAATGAATCATAAACCACCCCTTCTGTGGCTGTCATGACTGCAAACTGTTGTTAAATGCCCGTTTGTAAGTAGAGGACTACCAGTATTGCCCTTTAAATTAACATAGTGCTATGTCAGAAAGGCTGTATATAATATTTATATACTAAAGATCATGGGGATAGGTTTATAAAGAATCTTAGTATTTACCTGGAATTAATGCAGGGTATTGACTGAAGACACTGCTTTTATACGCTTCCTCAGTAGCCGGAGTAAAAGAAAGAGGAGACATAGCGGGTAATAAATCAAGTGCCTTTAAAAAAAAATAATATATTGAAATGTTTAGAATTCAAATACACATGCACAAATAAAATAAGTTACAAAGCCAGTCTATTCAAGTTCAAAAGACTGGATATCTGCTGTGTTTTGCCTCTAGTTCCTTCACTGTTATGCTTTTAACCAATTTTAAGCTGCCATACACTAGATGACATGAGTTCTAAGATCTTTAATGCCATAATTATTTATTTATTTCATTTATACCATGAAATAAATAATTATGGTATTAAAGATCTTAGAATTGGGTTTACCTTAACAAACAATTCATACAGAGCACAGGGACATGCCTACTGGAACTTTTAAAGTCAAAATTCGTTTGGATTATATACTGCAAACATCCTCAAAATGAATATATTCCTTCTTGTTCAATACATTACCTATCAAACATATACTTACAGGGTTTGGATCCTTAATTAAATGAAAAGGTGACTGGCCAAGATAATTTTTCCACTTCAAGTGCCATTCCTGTTGTTTTTCAGCAATTGATTGAGTTACTGAGATACGATCATTACATTTTAATTTTTGCCTATGGGAAAATTGTTAACAAGAATATTGGAACATTTTTAGCTGAATCAAAGATTTTACAAATGAAATCATTTGCTCAAATGCATTTGTTTTGTTATAAAAACACAACAGGCTGCATTCAGTATTAAGAAGGTGACATCATTTCTGCAGTGCAGTTTTCTAAAATTTGTATGTGCTCCAAATCTCCTCTGGATCCTAATCATCTTCAGCATTGTTTCTCAACCTCAGTAACTTTAAATTCTGTGGATCTTAACTCCCATAATTCTGAACTTCTGCCAGAAGTCAACAGACTGTGCCTTAAAATTCCTGATAATGAAAAACACGGCTGTGCAGCATATCTAAAGTTACAATATTTAGTTACAATAGGGAGACAAATTCATGTATTCTGCTGACATGCTGGTAGTATTTGACCTATGACACAAACTATTGGCTCTGAAAACATTATGAAAACATTATTTTAGTTACAATATACCACAATCCACTTTTCCCAGGAAAAAGAAAACAATATTGCACCTAATGATAAACTAATAAATGCTGTAAAAAGTCTAAATGGCAACCAGCAAAGCTTGTCCTTAAATATATTTAATAGTCCATTAAAGATCACAATATTTTCCCCCCTGAAATTTGACAAGAATATTTCTCACAAACTAGCAATTGAAGAGTGTGTTTGTTTGTTAGAGTTAACTGTACTTTAATAACACAAACCTGCGAATAGTTCTTGTATCGTCATATGGATGTTATGAATAACTTGCCATAATATACAAATGAGAAAATTCCAAGGTTTTGTTTACATAATCAGACTAAAATGAGTAATATATCCACATTATCTTTCCTTTCTTCCAACACAACCTTAAGTTTACAAAGACTATTAAAGCATAAGATTTTCTCTAATGTTGACACCAGGCAGCTGATGCCCAATAAACTAGGATCAATAAATTATGGACAATTGCCTGGTTCAGATTTAGGTATTGTTTATATTAAGTAATCGGTATGGACTGAATTAAAATACACAATGATGAAATGCAAACTGCACAATCCTAAAGGTTTTAAGTAATTCCATAATATCTTTATTAAAAGGTTTGTTTGGAAGGCCGCTGAATCCACAGAACAGAGACCTCTGAATTTACCTCAGTGACTTCAGCCCCAATAAAGTCTCATTCTGGAATCTGGTGTTTCCTTCAAGATCCTGAAGGTCTACTTTGAATGCTTTCTTGTCATAATGCCGGCGCTCATGCAGCAATAACTCCAAGGCTTTGGTTAGTAATTGGATAATGGTTAACATGTTCAGTTTTCCCATTTCATACACATTCCCAACAGGAAACTTTAAAAAAGAAAAAAAATGGTTAGCATTTACTGAATTAAGAGCATAATTGCGTGTGCAATGTCTTGCACAGGGCATAAAGTTACACACACTAGTTGGCATTATCCTCACAAATGATCCCATCGTTTTTTTTTACTTGTGTTTGGTTTATCAAGCCCTTCTACTGGAACTAAGCAAAACTCCAGAATGACTAGGAAGTACTGGTTAGACAAAGGAATGTTTTATTTGGTATTTTGCCTCATATTAATTTAAATTTCCCTTTGTCTGTTTCTTAAAAATCATTGCTTTTGTAATGCTTGTTTGAATAGTTTTAGCTTTAAGGTAAAAGTAAGCAAATCTGGTGATTTCTGTCATTCTTAGATATTTAATTCTTCCTATATCTGCACTGAAACATTTGGTTACAGGGAGCCAGGAAAGACAACCTTTTAAAATGTATCTTATGAAAAAGCCTATTAGAAGCTAAATAAAATGCGCTTTATACATTTTCCCATTAAGAGACTTTTTTTTTTGCCAGTCTAGGTTATTTGTCATAAGAAATTATTCTTTGGATTTAAACTTTTGTCCTAAATATTCCTTTTTGTGTCCAAATAGTTTCAAAGAACATATATTTTGGTTATACAAACAGGGGAGATACTCCTAAATCTTTTAATTTTACAGGAATAAAAATGAGCTTATTTTGGATTAGTTGCAACTACCAATAATGTGTTTTAAATGCTATCTGGGAAGTATTCGAGTTTTTTTTTTATTTTTATTACAATCTAACAATGTCTCCAATTAATCTCTCTAATTTTTTAACCAATCATAACATCAGCCAATCAATTTCAATGAATTAATCAAGTGATAGCAAGAAGCAGAACAATTATTCTACAAATATTGACTATCTGAACAGAAGCAGATACCAAGAAACTTACTTTATACATTTCTTTTTCTACTTTTTGAAGCAGAGGCCTTGGAATGCTAACAGAAACACTTGTGCCATCTAATGTATACTGATCAACATGACCTTTTACTACTGAATCCACTACTTCTCTTTCTTTTTGCAAAAATGTCACTGTTTCCATTACTGTTGCCCATAAACAGCGAACCTTTGGAGGAAACAAAAGCATTTTTCATCAAGCAGAAAAAATGTGCAATTAAATAAATGTTAAATGGAGATTATTGAAAACCTGTTGACAGCTACTCACTTTTTCGATTCTTTCTGCGTTATTACTCTGGCCAGAATCAACTTTTTTCCCCATTCTACCCAAACAGTAAGAAACAAACAAACAAACAAAAAGTTATTAAAGATAACAATGTTTATACTGTAACTGTTCTTATTTTTCTGATAATAGAATAGCAATAGCAGACATATAAATGAGAGTATTATATTAAAAAACTCTGTTGCTCACACCTTCTAGCCTGTCATATTTATCTTATAGGAATTGCTTTCCTAATGTGTTGTTGTTGTTATTATTATTATTAAACCACTGGTACAGTGGTTAAGTGCAGTATTGTAGGCAAACTCTGCCCAATCTGGAGTTCAATCCTGACAGGGCTCAAGGCTGATTCAGCCTTCCATCCTTCTGAGGTCGGTAAAATGAGGACCCAGATAGTTGGGGACAATATGCAAATAATGCTGACATTGTAACCCGCCCAGAAAGTGAAGTAAAGCACTATGTATATAAGGCAGTATATGTCTAAATGCTATTGCTGTTTAAGAAAACAGGAAAACAACACAAATCTAAATAAGCTATAAGATGCATTTCTAATAAAATATTACTTGCTTTTGCAATCGTTTGTCCAGATCCACATTTCCGTATCTTAAATCTCTGATTTGCTTAGTAAAAAGTCTGTGAACAGAAAAAGCAAGCCACAGTTAAGTTCTGTGGATGAAAAAAAAACCTATGAAATATTATCAATCAATAACTATTGACAATTCAAATTATGAATTGAAATTTTTTTCATTATCAAGTATCTTTTTCAATATCAGCAAGTAAGAGAATAATCTGAAATATACTCTTACCTATCAAACTATCCTGTTTTGTAACATTCAACATCTTGTCTACAACTTTATAATCTACAGATCACGTATTGTAGCTACTTTACTTACAGTGCTTTTTTCTGAAGTTCTTGAATCATCAAATCTTCCTTCTGTAGACACTGTGAAAATCTGTTCAGTGCCACTTGACATTTTGCAACAGCCATAGTCAAGTCTGGAGATCGTAAGTTCACCGCTTCTGGATTGGGTATGCCAGCACCTACAAAAAAATGATTCCGGAATCTACATTGGGAAATATGAAGTCAACCACCACCAAAAGGCAGCAGTATTTTAAGACATCCAAGCCTCTCAATCAAGTAAGAGGCAGAAAAGCAGGGTAGAAGAATGACTATGGTGAAAGCATGGTATCAGGACAACCTCATCTATCTATGTGGCCTGATAATTTCAGAATGTATCCAGGACTACTTCAATGAAGAAAGATTATTTCCAATTTTTAAAACCTTTTGATATTTTGTCCCACTTCTGAACGTTTCCTACAATGAACCCATGAAAATAGCCTGCCGTACAGGCAAATTCCATAGATGATACAAAGCTAAAGCTGACAAATTACATTCTATCAGAACCCACTTCACCTTCCGCTATACAATTTTGCTCCAGAAGCAGCTAATCTTTAAACCTGGTGCCATAAAAGCAAACACACAAGCAGGCAGCAGGCACAGCTACAGTTAGTCACATTAATTTGAATAACTCATTGGAGAATCATATATTTATTTTTTCCTTTTGAATAATTTTAATGTTACAGGTATTTGTTCTTTCATTAGATTTTGTCATATAACCCTATCCATTATTTTTTCAAAAATATTATATTTTTTTCAAAAAATATCAGGCTCATCTTCAAAGTCCTTTCAACATTTGAAAATTATGACCTGTGTGAGCGTGCCAATATAACAGATCATATACTTCATCATTTTTTTGTTTTTAAATATATAATTTAAAAAATTGTAGTGCTGAGGTGCAATTAAATTATTACATTTAGCAAGGATTCTGCAATAGGGTCATAATTAATGCCTGGAATATGCAGATGGCTGAGTCCTTGGACTATACCACCCATATGCAACTTTTCTCTGTGTGCCAATCCCAGGTGTGCACCTTGGTTTAGCTAGGAACTCAAGAGAAATCAAACACCAGAAGAGAAACCTAAAGCACCATCGAAGGAAGACTCATAGCTAGTCTGACCAAATATAGGGAAGAGCTGACATCTGGGACTACCTTGTAGTGATAAGCATGGGAAAACACCAATACCATTTCACCCTTATTGCATTTTATTTATCAAATTTAGAAACCACCCATCTCTCACACAGAGAGACTCTGGGTGGTATACAAGTAAAATATTGAAACCAAAAACAGAATCTAAAATTTAGATGTGAGGTAAATAATAGTTAAAAGTCAACATTAAAAGTTAATTCTAAGGCCAGAGGAGGGACTTCAGGATACCAACCAGACCCCCCCAACCTTGTGCTCCTCCATGAGCCCTAAGCAAGCGGGCAAAGCCAGGTCCTTAAACGTTTCTGAAAGGCCAGAAGAATGGGGGGGCTAGCCTCACCTCCGGGGAGAGAATTTTCCATAGGGCAGGGGCAATGGCGGAAAGGGTCCTCTTCCTGGACCTTGCCAGTTGAAATTCTTCAAATGATGGGGTTCACAACGTGCCTTTCCTGCTTCACCGGATGGGACAGACTGATGTAATGGGCAAAGATAGTTCTCTAGGTAAGCTAGACACATGTAATGTAGAACTTTAAAGGTCATAACCAAAACTTTAAATTGGACATGTAAGCTGGTAATTTATTAGTATTTTAATTATTTTATATAATTTTATTGGTATTTATTTCTATTTTGTCCAATATATTTATTTATTTTGTATAAAGTGATCCGGTTGTTCTCTATTTTTATTGTTTATTACACTGTGAACTCCCTGGAATGAATTTGGAATTGAGTCTGTCTAATTTGAATTAAATAAATGAAAACTAAAAATGCCGAGGAGAAACTTTTTCATCATTGCTGATGATCCCCCAACATCTTGTACTTGCAAAAGAATGCTGGATGGATTCCATTGAACACTCTTTGCTTGCAACGATCTTTCATGGTTTATTTAAAACCTTCTGAGGTAGGTGGCTTTATGTGAGGAAGTTCCTCACTAGCATGAATTTCCTATAAAAAAGTAAATTCCAAAATTTTGTTTCCCCAACGAAACAGTATAGTAAACCTAAGAGCAGTACAAAAATACCCTCTGTTCTTCCATGATTTCTTACCTAGAGAATCCACTTTAATATGGTGCATTATTACATATCTTGCAAAGTGGAACATTAGATGAATGAATTTGGGTCCACCAGGAGAAAGAAATAATGATGCAACAACTGGAGGAAAACTGTTTCCACATTCATCCTAGGGATTTAAAAATACACAAGTGAACTGTAGTTGGTAGTATCAATTTCAAGCTCTAATGAAGTTAGAGAAGAAGTTCTCTTTAAGCAATAGAGCCAGCATACTGAAATCTGACAAACAATTATGATTACCTTGCTAGACATCAGAGGCCTGCATAAGTTAAAGCAACTATATAAGCATCCCTGGGCCAAAAGGGATGTTTCACAAATTCTTTTCATATTATCTTAATTGCACGGCATGCTAAAAGAATAGCTTTGGTTTTGCTCAAATCCAATTAGCTTGAATTCCCTGATTGCATTTTCATGCTACTATTATTCAACAAGCTCTGAATATAATCCTGTATTTAACAGAAGACAAATGAATCTCCAGAAGAAGACTATAAAAAGATACTAATGATTGATCCTGGATGGCAAGTAGTTCTATTGGTCAGCTATCTTCAGGTCTGGGGAGATAAGACCTATAAAGAGAATCAAAAAGAAGAGGAGGCCCTTCTGTTCTATGTTCTTGCAAAGTGATTTCTCTCCGTCGAGTGCTGCTTAGCTTTCCATTTGAGTTACCTTTTTCTGGTTAATACTTGCATAATACTATATTTGAAAAAGTATTGGCAACAAGAAAAAATTAATATTCTCGAGGTATGGCTGTCAGAATCCTTGATGCCATTCGTTCTGAGACTAATAGGAGCTTTAGTCCAAAGTGTCTAGAAAACATCAGGTTGCCTAAGAAAGGACAGTAATAGCAACAAGAAATCTCTTATCTTATATATATATATTGAAACATATGAAGCTAATATATGGACACCTTTTCATTCTTACCAATACTTACTGATATCCTTTTTAGCCATTCATAGCATTGCTTCCTGAATTCAGAGTCTGCCTTTTTATCTGAGGGAGGATAACAAAATCTTTCCATTCCAACGGAAAGGAAAGAGAACAATTTCAACAAATGTGCAAGGAATCAGACATAGTTTTAAGGTAGCTGAGCAATACAAAATGTTCCTGGGAAAGTTTAACTACATTGCGTTATTGCACATTTACTTAGTTTTTTATTGTAGAAGCATCTTATCAACGAGAAAAATACCTATACATCATTGTGCTGTAGGTCTAGAATAGTACTAATAAGGCTGGACCAGTGATACAGAATTTCTCTTGAATAAAGGCTGCCAGCAAGACTTCCCGGCATCAGAGTGGAGCTCCTCCTGGCCATAGTTCTTTGCTTTTTTTGGAGCAGCAAAAACATACTTTATAACATACTTTCATGCTTCCGGTTCCACTTCAATACAAGTTACAGAATAGGGTGGTATTGAAAATATTAATATTTTGGGGAGGGAGGAGGCATCATGGTATAAGGGAATGACAACAATATTTTGATGAGCCATGAGCGAATCACTCTAACAATTTCCTCCAGTGAGGAGAGTCGTATAGCAAGATTACTCAAATCCTAATAATCATAATTTTAGTTTGTTATGGACTTGGCAAGTAACTTTAAGAAAAACTAAGTAATAAAGCATATTTTATTAAATGTTACACTCACCTAAAAACCTCATTACAGTGTGACCGGTCCAGCTTTGAAAATAAGAACCATGCAACAATGTGAAATGCATCTTTGTTTGGTATATCAAACAAGTTCCTTAAAAAAAAAGTTTAAAAATCATTACTCCATATGCAATTGTAGGATAATTAATTGGACTGACTCCCTTTTTCCCTAGCAGTATTCCTGCTATACTGTCATCATATGTAGAAACTCAGTATGCTGCATTCACAATTCTATACAGTCTTTGCAAAAGATTGATTTCTTTTGAAGAGCATGACTCCATCTTACTACGAATCACAGGTTAGTATAAATGGGCACCAACTTAAATGCTCTGCCAAATGCCAATTGTTCCCGAATTAATTTTCTATAAACACTCTAGAGCAGTAAACGTACAATCTAAAAACTGTTCATATTTTCCACATCTGACTAAAATTGTAGTTCAATCATGCACAGAAACATCTAGGTTATTTCATAATTAGTTACAGTAGAAGCAGGAAGAAAAATCTGTTTAATTCTGAATAGGAAAATTCCTCACGATACTACAACATCACGATTTGTTTTAAATGTGGAAACGATATCACCCAATAGAAGTAACAGCAGGGATGGCTTTGATCAAGGTTCCCCAAGGTGCTCAGTATCAAGCCCCAGGGCTCAACGGGATTATCCAAGGGTGGTAAAATGGCTGGGGCTTAACAAGTTATCAATAAATGATAGAAAGTCAATCCTTCCAGGCCTCCATTCCAGCTGCACACCAGTTCCTAGTTCTGAAGATGACAAAGCTGGTGGCGAGACAATATTACCTCCGGGTTGAATGGTCAAGTTTCCAGCGAATGTAGCCTTTAGTTTTTTTTATCTAATTTATATAGTCACCCATCTCACAAGCGACTATAGGCAGCATACAAGACTAAAACAATAAATATCTAAAATAATTACCGTTTAAAAAAGCTAAAACAAAATTAATGGGCTAATTAATGGGATGTTAATAGTAATGCAGCCACTTCATCGGTTCACCTGTCCCCAGAAGTCTCCAGGCCTGCTGGCAAAACCAGGTCTTAAGGGACCTTTGGAAGCCTAGAAGTGATGAAGCTATCTTCATTTTGGGGGAGAGAAACTCTCACAGCATAGGGGCCACAGCAGAAAAGGCCTGCTACCTAGATCCTGCCAAATATAGCAGAACAATAACTCCTTAGACAACAGGACCCATAATGTACCCATACTGTTCAATCTAGATGAGACAGACGGATGAAATCAAGGAAAGGTGGATCCTCAAACAACACAGTCTCATGCCATGTTATTTTATTCCTAGTATTATTAAATATTTATTAAATTATTTTTATATAACCAATGTTTGGAGGTTGATATTGATGAACAGTCAGAAACAATCTGAAATAATGAAGGGATCGATCACTCCTGGTTTTGATAATGGGCCTTCAAGCCAGTATAAACTCATAGCATATTTTTCCCACAGCAAGGATAGCATCTAACACAGAGGTGAAAGGGGAATACAGGTAGTCCTCGACTTACAACAGTTTCTTTAGTGACTGCTTGAAGTTTCAACAGCACTGAAAAAAAGTGACTTATGACCATTTTTCACTCTTACAATTGTTGCAGCATCTCCATGGTCACATGATCAAAATTCAGGTGCTTGGTAACTGGTTCATATTTATGACTATTACAGTGTTGTGGGGTCACATGATCACCTCTGGCAACCTTCTGAGAAGCAAAGTCAATGGGGAAGCCAGATTCACTTAACAACCATGTTACTAGCTTAACAACTGCAGTGATTCGCTTAACTGTGGCAAGAAAAGTTGTAAAATGGGACAACACTCATTTAACAACTGTCTCACTTACCAACAGAAATTTTGGGCTCAATAGTGGTCATAAGTCCAGGACTACCTATATTAATTGAGCAGCTTCCCACAACCTGCCCAATCTAAGTTCCTAACACAAAACTTGCCAGCCTCATAGGAACTAATAGCGAAACTTTTTAATAGTGAAATATAAGGTAGTAACATTACTATATATTAATATAATAGCAAAATATTGGGTTTTTTTGTTGTAGATTTTTAATGCTGTAAGCCACCCAGTCAGCTGTGAGTTAGGCGGCTCTGTGAATTTATATGTATATCTATGCATTATATTATAGTACATATAAAGCAATACATATTATAACTAATATGTATTAGTTATATGTATAACTAATAAATAGAATAACCGAAGGGCACAGGCTGCAGTATTTACCAGTTCCTGGGCAAAGTCTTCCCGCTTCTCTGGGAGCTAAACTGGCGGGAGATATAAATAAATAAGACAATATAGATGCTAATAAGGAAATAAAAGAACCGCCGTGTCCCGTCGCCTCTTCCACTTACACGCCCAGCCGGAGGTGAGTCGAAAGTTTCCCGGCAGCGGCGTTTACCGCGGGATCGAAGCCCAGAGCCAAGAGGTAGAGCCAGAAATGCTCCTTCTCCCAAGCCGGAGGCGAGAAAGGGCTGCTCATCTCTCCGGCGCCCCGCCGGATCTCCCAACTCCCACGGCGGGACGACTCCGCGAGCAACGGAAGGAGCTCCACGCGCTGTTCTCACGGTCACAGACAGGCAAATAAAAAGCCCTCCCCCAGCTTCTTTCTAGGTAACGGCCGCCTTCACATTAGCCCCGGAGTAAGTTCCGTTAACTCCACACCCCCAAAGCCGCCATTTTGCTTAACCCGCCAAAGTGTAAATCGAAAGAGGCGGGTTTTTATGAATGAGGGGGAAACATTACCGAATCAAAGTCCTCGGGTCCTTCACGTGATCGCCAGCTTCTCAACCAATCGGAAAGAAAGAGAGGATTTCCCAGAATGCACCGTGGCAGAACTAGAACGCTATTAAAAAAAAGGATGGACTCGGATTAGCTACAGCTGCGATCGTAATAGGTTATTAATGCTTTTTGTAAAAAAAAAAAAAAAAGTTTCGCTTTTCTTGGAGACTTGCTCTCCCAAGCCATAGCTCGAGCAATATTTTTTCCATTATTTTCTTACAGCAAAAAATATAGAAGTCTGGCAGCATCTTTTCTTGCCAACAAATGTTATTAAAAAGTCTGGGCTTTTTAATAAAATGTACAGTTACGAGACTTTTTTTTTTTTTTTTTGCTAGTACCAGGGGTATCAAACTGCCAGCCCGCGGGTCAGTTTCATCATACCGAAGCTGCGCCCACCCCATTGCCGGCAATGCAAAAAGAGTCGCGATATGTTGTGACACGTCACGTCATGTTTGACACCCGTGCTATATAGACTAACGGCTCTCTTCTTACAGTTTCCTTGTACGGAGTTTCTCTGTTGTTGGCCCGTTGCCAACAATAGAGAATTATTAGTCGCTAAGGGCAATATACATATAGTCGGAGTAGCGTAGCGAGTACTTGAAATTAGCTAATACGCCTGTAGGTTGGTTACACAAGGGATTCCCAAATTGTGGGTTGCGATAAGTAACCTTGGGAGGATGTTACAGCGTCTCAACAAACTGAGATGATCTCAAAATGATGTTACAGGTGCAATGACGTGAAGGAAATCCTGCCTTTTGTGTACTGCGGTCACCGTATGTGACAAAAGTAGGTAAATCATAGTATTTATTCAGTACATAAAAGTGGCATCTTTTTTTCAGCTCTGCCTCCATCCCAAATCCACAAATGCCTATGAATCACAAAACCCATCTTATAATGGGATTCAGCCCAAAAAATTGTGTTCTGAACAGCAGTGCTTTTTTTTGTTGTGGTTGTTGCTCTGCTAGACAAAAGGCTGGCTTGGTTGTGAGGAACCAAACTTTTCATTAGATTTTTCATTCACTCTTGAAGCATGTCATGTAACAGAGAGCAGAGGTCCCCAACTTTTTGGGCACGAGGGACCAGTTCCATGGACAGAGGTTTTTCCATGGACCGGAGAGTGTGTGGTTTTGTGTGCTGTTTGCATCTCACGGATGGGGCTTTGCTTGTTTGTGTGGACCGATTGCTGGCATGCCACGGCCTGGTACCGGTCCACAGACCAGGGGTTGGGACCCCTGACATAGAGAACTTTTCCTCAAATACTTCCATAAGAGGTTTGGCACTGGGTTTCCCTGACTGACGGCTAGGCACCTTTACTTCTCTCTTAGGAGACATTTTACATATGTATACAAGTCCTCTCTTACAACTAGTTGCTGCCAGCAGAGAAGCAAACAAGAGTACACATTTCTTTTTTCAAGGTCAGAGGGAAAATTCCAAGAGCAAAGCGCTTTGCAAGGAGAATAACTTTGATATGCAAACTCCTGAAGTGCAGAAAGAAAAAGAAAAAAAGGAGAGTTGCATACAGAATGCAATAAAAATACAATGAAGGTATAAAATCTTTTCAAGTTGATAATGGTAAAAGTTCAATATGATTAGGTTATTAAATCCTTTTCTCAGTAATCTAAGAAGACTTGTTGCCATTTGTCTCTTCCATACGGGAAGGAGACAAACTAGTTCAACTCACGCCTACGGTACTATTAAATCAATTAGGAGTCCATGAGGGGGGAAAGTATCAAAATTCAAGCACACAGCCAGCAATTAACATCCAGAAAGAGAAGAAAAAAAGAAAAAGATTTGGGGGGAAAAAGGGGTTAAAGGCAGAGGCGTTCTTCAAAAACAAAGACTGGGCGCATAGGATATGAGCTCTTCCTTTGGTTGAACGTACCAGGGAGATGAAACCCCCCAAATCTCACCTACCCCAGCCAGGCACGACAGTCCAAGGCAGGGGTCTTAAAACCTGGCCCTTTTATGACTTGTGGACTTCAACTCCCAGAATTCCTCAGCCAGCATGCCTGGCTGAGGAATTCTGGAAGTTGAAGTCCACAAGTCATAAAAGAGCCAAGTTTGAAGACCCCTGGTCCAAGGATTTTCAGGTTGATTCCCCATCACTTTTTCTAATCCAGGAGTGAATTAGTTCTCTCCATGGAACTGGTCCCTGGTGCCCAAAAGATTGGGGACCTCTGCTCTATGTTACATGACATGCTTCAAGAGTGAATGAAAAATCTGATAAAAAGTTTGAATTATTAATAATTCGTTTGGTACTCATCTTTTTTGGTACTCATCACACCTCCCGGAACCAATTAGCAATGAATACCGAGATACTACTGTGTTATATTATATAGGATATCATCTGTCTGATGAACTGATGCATAATGCCAACTCTTGTGATCTTATATCAAACAGATCGTCCAAAGGCTACATAGGATTTTGTAAGTGTCTTAAATGTAGCATTGCTCAAATTATCATTTACTATATTTTTTAAAATAATGGGAGTTAAATCTAAGGGTTCATTAAACTGTGTGTAACAGTTTACATAAGCAACAACTATTTCTTCATCAAATATTTTCCTTGGAATCAAAGACAGAGGAGAAGCATATTGTGTTGTTCATGGAAATCAACTGTTTTTTAAATCAATGTAAAGATATTGAGGAACCATTTCCCCAGATCCAGCATTATCTGTCATATTATCAAAGATACTGTAACCTTATATGACTATATATTTAATAAAAAAGCATACATAGGGAAAAGGGTGAAAAGAGGCAAAACATTAATGCAGTAATCAAATATCAGTACAAACTTTATTTTCAAGGCATTTCAGTAAATATTTCTTCCAACTTACATCCTGCATCTGATATTGGAGACACTCACATTACAAAGGAAGTCAATTATTTCTTAACGCTAGCTTTATGAAATCTACTAAATTAGCATCAAGAAATGCCCTCATATTCTCACAACAAATAGAAACAAAGTTCCAGTGGCTTAGGAAGAGAAATGATGATGACAACAAATGATAACAATCACATTTCTTTCAGTTCAGAAAACATGAAACTCCCCAAAAATCCATCATGAAATATAGGTCTAAGTGCTTATAACAATGGCTGTTGTTGAAATTGTATGTTTAGCAGGAATGTATAATGAGCAGAATCTGCAGGAGAAATTTCATTTTCTACAATTTTTGCTATCATTTATAGTCATTGCATCTTTACTATTTTTTTATCCAAACTCATCCTCTTTTTAGAAGTTTTCTTATATCCTTTTAGAATGTGTCTATTACTTCTCTTCAGACGTATTTAAATCTTAAACTTCTTATATAAATGTAAAATCTAATGGGGAATTGTGTGCTTTAACCCAATTATTTAAAATAAAAATAATATAGTCCTTCCTCTGAGATATATAGCTGCCAGTTTTCTATCTGTAGTGGATTTTAGGGAGCCATATCAAGTTATGTGAATCCACAGCCAGAATATATGTTTATTACTTTAATAGTATCTTGGTTGATATATTATTGGAGCACTAAGACATTGGATAAGAATATTATACTTTAAAGAGACACCAAATATTTTCATTGCATTAAAGCAGCCTTCCTCAACTATGGATCCCAAATGTGTTGGGATTGTGTGCCTTGTCATCTGGGAGTTCTAAGAATTGCACTCCCAATGTATTTGGGTAGGGCAAAGAGTATAAGAAAATTGTTTCAAAAGCTTAATACACCTATTCCCACAATTAGAGAATTGAGCAATATATACTGCTCGGAAAAATAAAGGGAACATTTTACTATGGAACTGAAGGGGTTTGCGTTCCCTTTATTTTTGTGAGCAGTATATTTATTTCAGCTTGAAGGTTTTGCAACAGATTAAAATATATACATGTAAGTACTGTACTTTGCTAAGAAAGGAAGAAAGTTTAAGACAGCAAATCATCTGATAGTCCACATTTCAGGTGAATTGTTAAGGCTGCTACTTCAAAAGTTTTTATTGGCCCAATTGTGATCTAAGCTTCAAAGGATATTTAAGACTATTTCAATACATTTATCTATCACCTAAAACAGGGGTCTTCAAACTTGGCCCTTTTATGACGTGTGGACTTCCACTCCCAGAATTCCTGAGCCAGCATGCCTGGCTGGGGAATTCTGGAAGTCCACAAGTCATAAAAGGGCCAAGTTTGAAGACCCCTGACCTAAAGCATCTATGGTTTATCCTAAAATACTTGTCTATGTTCCATAATAACAATGAATCAAGAAGCTGAATGTTGGCTGATCTAAATTAAACAAAAATGCGCTCTCCAATAGCTATCGTCCCATAAAGCAGAATTGTAATTAAGTGTGCATATACACTGTATGTGTGTCTATGTGGATGTAGATCACACACATACACACAGCACACACATACATTGCATTGAAGGAACAGCTTTTCTTATGCTTCCACTATTTGTTCCATGGTAATTGGGCCATTTGCATGGGAATAGTCAGGCAATCCTTCTTCATCCAAATCTGAGATGTCCGGTATCTCATCAGATTCTGAAGACAATTCTGTGATAGTGAAATCTGGAACCTACAGAAAAATAAGCTCAAATAAATTTGAAGGCAACATTTGAATTCTACACACCCTCCTTCCCCACTTTACCCCAGCATTAAGCATGTAAACCCAAAGAATCGGCTAGCAAAATCTCTACAACTTTGTTTTAAATAGAAATAATTAAAAAGGAAAGAAAATGGGGCGGGGAGATAAAAGCAATCAAAATGGATACCAGCATATTCATACGCTTTCCCTATTAAAAAAAAAAGAGCCAGAACATTTGAGACACTGCTTAGGAAGAAGGTGATTGAGGTGGTCA